TTTTACTTTTTATATTAATTAACATTGGAGAAGAACAGCCTCGGTGGTACTTATATTGGAGGAGGCTCGAGCAGGCGCCGCTGGCCCCCGACGCCGAGGTATCGCTACCAGGCGCGCATGCGGGGCGGGGAGGTGGTGCATACGTGCCGGGCGCCTGCTGCGGGCACCTGGCTATCGCTACCAGGCGCATATATACATACCGGGCGCCTGCATGGCGTGCGGCGGCTGGAGCAGGTGCTGGTCCTTGACGCTGAAGTAGCGCGGCGGCTGGTGCTGCACGGCGGGCAGTTTGGCCGCCAGGTTGGTGTGCGGCAGCAGCGACACGTGCCCGCCGCGTTGCTGCTGCACACCATACACGACAGGTGCTCATTTCGTTTGCCGTTAAATTTATAAATTAACCGCTTCGAATTCGAAATTCGATACAGTAGTCTCGTCTATTTGAAACAGTACTCGTGAGTGTTTCTTGCCTTAATCTTAAATTGATATTTAAACGTTTTTTGTAATCACGATAATCCTACATGACATATTTGACTTCGTTACCACATGGACACACATCGGACGCATAAAATATTTGATTTAATATTACAGTTGCACAAACGTCCTAAATTGTACTTTAAAGAGACATTATTAGTATAAATTTTGCGATAACAGCTTACAGTCATCATTACCTTAATAACCTCCTTTAACTTTTTCCAACTAGATGTAAAATATAAATCAGACAAGAACAGTGCCATCTGACGATGTTGATACAAAAACGATATAAATAAAAAAAAGTCATCCAGGGTATCTGCTATAAAATAAACAGCTGTTTACGACTGAACAGATGCAGAAATCTTCTGGCGGTACAACGTCACACCGTGGCGGATAATCACGTGATAAGCAAATAAAAAACTTTTAATTTTAATTCAGTATAACATCATTAGGTGATTTCGACTGAAAATCAGAATATCTATGACTATTTGAATGATCATTTTGTTTTTTGTCGAATTTCGTGACTATACAATTGTGACAATACTTACATTGAAGTGTGCCGATCCGTAAAGCGGCGCAGTTCTTAGATCGGCCGATGCCGCGCCACAAACACCCAACTCGCCGCCCTAATTAAAATATTCTAATATAAATATGATAATACATCTATTATATTTAAGTATGAAACAAACTTATATCTATAATAGGTAAATACTTTAACGAAATCAATGTCAATTTATGGAAAATGACAAAGACTGTGACTATGTGGAGTGGTCCCCATGGATATAGAAGCAGAGGCCGACCAAAAGCGAGATGGAGGGACGAAATAGAAACTATCGGTACAAGAAATTGGCCAAATCTGGCAAAAAACCGCGTTGAGTGGCGATCTCTGGAGGAGGTCTTCACCCTGTGGAGGGGTCCAGGTGGCATTAGACTAGAGGATACTCAACGATAACCTACTAACATGTACTGTACACATGCCAAATGGAATAATAAAGGCTTTTTTATTTATTTATTTTATAGAAAATAGAAATATTACACATTAAGTAATTTTGATGAGTTTTCATGTAATATGAAATAAAAATTACATATTATATGTATACAATAGTATTGAGCAAGTATTAAAAAAATATAATTTCTTGTTCGAATCGGAACTACCTTTCGCAATCCATCGTCTCTATTAGATTACGAAAGGTTATTTATTGTCTTTTTATGGTTCATAGATTCAAATGAATTTTGATGATCGCATGAAGACGTGAATGTATGAATTCTTTATTGTATGTACACAATAACTATAGAACATAACAATTGGCAGAGTTTAGAAATACAATCGGTGGCCTTATCGCAACCGCATGTTGTAAGTGTGGTTTATACAGGTAAATACTTATGTAACCAATTATGGCGTTCGGTTATTGCTACTTATTATTTTACGCGTGTGAATTTGCGGTAAAAGAACGGAGAGTGGTAGTGTAGTGTAATGTAGTGCAGTGCAGTGCAGTGCAGTGTAGTGTAGTGTAGTGTGGAGGGAGGTACCTGCGTGTGGCCGACGGTGTGGCGGCGCGCGGCGTGCGGCTCCGCGGGGCGCGCGCGCTCCGCCCCCGCCCCCGCCCCTGCGCCCGGCCCCGCACACCCTTCGCCGAACTGACCGACAACGACATCATACTATACGTCCTTTACCAAACTTATCCTAATATATACGAGTGTTATTAAAAAAATCAGAAAAGTATTCGTATTCTGGTGAGCAAAAAAATATATTCGGTTAGCTAAAATACTCGTAACTCGTTGGGCAGCGACTTGTGAACAGCAGATATTACTAAGTCTGCAACTTGTATCATTCTGAACAACGGTAATTTTTTTATAGAGTTGAAACTCTGCAAAGATTTGTCCATATTTAATTAAGCTTTGGTGAGGATTCCTACAGTAAGAAAAAATCAATTTGTGCCACTAATATTGTAATATTTCAATATATTTATTTACTATCTTCCTTAGGCTCCTGAGGAGTGGCTCGATGCGATACAATTCGATGTTGATATGAACGCTCGCAAGTTGCAAATGTACTGTGCACGTATATAAGTACCTTCTCTAGACTGTCGGTGCGATGGTCCACGCTGACGGTCGGTATTGACACGAGACACTCCTGCGTCGTGGACTCTTCCGCGTCCATCTGTTCGTCCTCTGAACTCTGGAGATAATAAACGATTTTATTTATTTATACAGGGTCGTTTGTGACGCACCGACCTCGAAGAACTAGATAGCCGATATCATATGTCATAAATGACAATTCAATTCTGCGGATTTTGATAAATGGCTACGTTTGACTTTTATACAAAAATAATTAAATGTTAATATAACGAAACGCAACACGAAAATGTAGGTTTCACAAAGCACGCGAGTACAGCGTCGTCCTTCCTCCTTAGTCTTAATATCACGATAGTCGGTACAATAACACCTTAAAACATAGTTTTTGTTCAAAGTATTATGTTAAAACTTGTAGATCGAACGCTATCATTTATAAAGTTATCTATCTAGTACTTAGAGGTTGTTGGTACAGGGTTATTAACAAATAACCCTGTATAAACAATGATAAAAAAAACACAATAAAAATTATGCACCATCATCAGGCTGAAAACTATACAATACAAGTCGCATTTTGATATAAATCAAGTGTCACTTACCTTACAACTAGTGAGATCTAAAGGCTGTCCTGTCGTTGAGTCTAATGAATCTGTAAATATACATTAATATAAATTAAGTAGATATATCTTTTTATTTTCAAATATTAATATATGTATAAGGTTTTTTATTTTAAAGAATAAAAACTTGTCGTTAATTGCTGTTTATTAATAATATAGTTTTTCAGTATAAAAAAAAAAAAATCATTTTCACGTACTGCATACATATATATAATTTCGAATAATTTTTAAAGTTTTATTAAAATCGTATCCATTAAGATTATCTGTACATCAGTCAGAGACAGGGGCAGGCCCGATCTTCGTTGCATCATATATTATCGAAGTATGAGTCTCTCTCTTTGAAGTTAAAATTAGTATTTTGAAGATAGACTTATCAGCAGTGGTCGGAATTAGGTAGAGTTATTTATGTACTTACACTGATTTCATACAGCGAAAGAATAAAGTGGATATGCCTCAAACCCCGAGATTAATTTTAAAGAGCAGAAAAAATCCCGTGATTTTTTAAATAAAAAGTTATTTACTTTTACACAATTTAAACTACTGCATTACTAAATATGCGTATGAGAATTTGATTAAGACTATCAATAATTTGTATTGTAAATTAATGTAAACTAATAAAAAATTTATGTTAATTATCTTTGTTTTATTTGTCTATCTCTGACGTTGTTATTGTTAATTGTTGGCCATACGGGATTGCCCATTAGAAATCCCAGGAAGGTCCACATTAATATCAACATTTCGATGCAAGTACATAAATAACTCTACCTAATTCCGACCTCTGCTTATCAGGTGTTATATTAATTCGGATACAAGTAGTATTAATATACACAATATCAGATCTCACCCCTGTGCTGTAAGGTGTTCCTGTCGTGGTTCCGTTGTCGTAACTTGTCCATCAGTAAGTGATATATCGCAGATATGTGGTCGAACCGTTCCTCCTGCACAGACTGTCGACAAACATTCATATGTTCACAAATGTCTATACATACTGGCGGGTAATCGATAGGTGCAATTGTTGGGTCATTATAAGAACTCACATGTATAATACATAAATTTTTTACTTTTGACGAAAGTACCATAAAATTCACACCCGGTTTCCGAATTGAGATTTTAAAGCTAAGTACTTCTCAAGCTGTACTTAAATGTCACTTAAATAGGTTTTAGTTTTTTTAATGACCAGTTGATAGCAGTTTGATAAAACTGTTTTTTTTTAATTGTAAGTTATTGAGAATGATCAGTTGAGATTTTGTACTCTTCTCAATTCTGGAACCGGCTTTCAGACTAGACAATTTAGAGAAGATGATTATGTAATTGATCCAGTCGGGAATCGAACCCGGTTCTAAGGTGTAGCCCCGTCAGCATGTGCGCGACCACAGTGTCGTTACCTGCACGAGGGTGTGGCGGGTGAGGCCGGGTAGCGTCAGCATGTGCGCTACCACAGTGTCGTGTTACCTGCACGAGGGTGTGGCGGGTGAGGCCGGGTAGCGTCAGCATGTGCGCGACCACAGTGTCGTGTTACCTGCACGAGGGTGTGGCGGGTGAGGCCGGGTAGCGTCAGCATGTGCGCGCCCACAGTGTCGTGTTACCTGCACGAGGGTGTGGCGGGTGAGGCCGGGTAGCGTCAGCATGTGCGCGACCACGGTGTCGTGGCACTCGCTGTTGTCGCACGACGACACCGCGGGGTGGCACGCGCACGCGCCCTCCGATGCATCTGTACACATAGACAAACGTACGTTAGTACAACACATAGGTATACCTATATAAAGTCTAGTTCCTATATCCCATCACTGTTTCACTTTCAGACCACATACTCTCCATGCAGCAAGAGACCTTAACGAACGACAACTACTTGTTACTTTCGATGAATTTGAAGAAACGTCGATAATAATACTAGCGCATTGAGAGGTGTTGGTGTACTGACCGTGTGGCGGCGTGGCGACTGGTGTGGCGGCGAGCCAGCGGTGCCTGGCGACGGCGCGCAGGGACAGCCGCTTGTCGGGCTCCACCACCAGCATGTGACGGATCAGGTGCTCACATTCTGATACAACAAAAAATATATACAATTACAATACTGTTTTATTACACCTGTCTTTAAAAAAGTTATTCGATTTCAAGAAAAAGTAAACCATTAAAACTAGTCCGCGAGCACGAGCCTCTTGAGCTAGTGCTAATGAACAGACTGACCCTGTGACATGAAGTAAGGTATCCGGAACTTGCCGGCGAGCACGACGCTCCGCAGCTCGTGCAACGTGCCGCCGTCGAACGGTAACGCGCCGCACACCAGCACGTACAGCACCACGCCCAGCGACTGCACATGCGCATAGACCAGGTATCAATCAACCTGACGACCTGACCGTCGCACAGCCAATGTAGAGGTACCAGGCTAGCATACATGACCGGGAGGTAAATATCTATATAGTTTAGCAATTAATCAACGCTGATCAACAATTTTCTCCATGACCTATTTATAAGTCTTTTGCACATAGCATGAGTAAAAATATATTTACAAAGACGGCTTTGAGGTCAATGTATAAAATAGGATTTAAGAAACATATTTATTAATCAACAAGATGAACCCATGCCAGAATAATATAAAAATGTATTTAAGTTGAGATTTATTATTGCGAAAACAATAATTTTAAAAATTACATATTATTACTGTAAAAAGTTTACAAATAATACATATTTAGATTAAAACAATTTTATTGATTCAATCCCTATTTAAAAAACGTTGCAATTTTAGTTATATGTAAGTATTAATGTTTAAGACTTTAGAGGGTTAGATTTCAGTAATTATGGCTACTAAAAATTTATATGTGTTGTATTATGCAAATTTAAATAAATATCTGTGTATATATTAGATATTTATTTAATTTATTAGATATCTGTTAGGCAAACAATTTGTTTTATAACGATGATTTTTATTATTTGGCAATACAAATGGATTAACAAAACGTCATCGTACCCATTCTATATGGCCCCTTCGCCTGTCCCATGGACGAAACTACTACTACTACTACTACCATGCTATATGAAACGGATTATAATCGACCTATTCGGCTATAAAACTAACAATATCTAAAATTAAAAAGTCAATACTATATAGTAAAAACATAAAACTATGATTAGAAGGTACCAGGCTAGCATAGACCGCATGAAGGTTCGGGGATACTTACCCATATGTCGGCCTTGGGCCCGTCGTACCGTCGGCCCTCGAACAGTTCGGGCGCGGCGTACGGCGGACTGCCGCACCACGTGGCCAGCGGGGAGCCCGCGCTGTACTCGTTGCTGAACCCAAAGTCCGCCAACTAATACATGCAATACGATAAAGTTGGCACTTTTCACGTTCAAACTCTACCATTATAGCGCACCAAAGCGGAGTTTAAATATCATTTCCCGCTTTATTTTTTTTAATTTCGTCTTTCACCAACGATAACCAAAATACTCATGAGCAGAGGACTCAACAAATGTAGGGTTTCACTAAAAAAGGAGCGCAAAATTTTTTGAATATTACTTTCCAATCGTAATATATTTAATCGATAAAAAACGGCGCTAAAATCCAACTTTCACAAAGGCCGGTCATAAAACGGCTTCGGATGGTCTTAAACTATCGATCCAAGCAGCATCTGTAGAACATTACACACAAAACAAACAGCATTAGCTCAGCGTAATTTATAACCCGTTCTCCTTATCCGACTGCATATATAGGGAAGGCCTGCAACAAGCGTGTATACCTTGATGTTCATATCCCTATCCAGCAGCAGGTTCTCCGCCTTGAGGTCCCTGTGCACGACGCCGTTGGCGTGGCAGTACCCCACCGCGGCCACCATCTGCGCGAACGCGCGCGCCGCCTCTGACTCGGGCATGCGCCCGCGGGACACCAGGTGATCTGATCACGCACGGATAACAACACGCACTACTTAGTCTGAGAGACAAAAGTGTTCAAGAACTTTCTAAATTATCATTCGATACCCAGCGTGGAGATCAAATACTAGAGCATCCGGTGGCGGCGGCGCGAAACAATCTTGTAGCGATTGCTGAATATGTTTGTTAATGTGTTATAGTGATGTATGTATACTCTTAGTACTTCAACATACTGAAATATCAAGCTTTAGAAAGCTCTTGCATTTTTTATACAGCGTGTTAAAAAGGGTATCAAAACTAACATATCGAATTCTTGGAATCTATAAGTTGTAATCATTAAGTTGTAAAAACCTGCCAAGTGCGAGTAGGACTCGCGCACGAGGGTTAAATATTAAGGGTGAAATTACGAAATTGCCGTTTTATCGTAATAGGTTCCTTGAAATTACATAGAATCTTCATGGTTTGAGGTTTTCGAAAGAAACTTTTTTCAAATGGTTTCTATGATGTTCTTCTTTTAAAAAAATGTGAAACATTTGAATATTGACTTTCAGTTGTTTTTGTTATTCAACTTAGACAAGAAAGGTGGATATTGCAAAAAATGAATACGAGTTCCGACGCGGAAAGTAAGGCGGCAGAAACAGCCCGCAATATCCTAGTCAAACTACCCAGGAATTAGCGGTATAGTTTAACGTTACCTTACCCCACAATATTGACTCATTTGCGTCAAATCAATAAAATAAAAAAAAACGAAAAATGGGTGCCTTATGATTTGACTGATCTGCAGAAAGAAACGCGTATTGAAACTCGTGTTGCCTTGTTGAATCGGTACAGAAAAAAAGGAAAAAAAAAAAATATTGAAAATATTTCATACTTTGCCTAAATCGCCAATTTCATACTTTAACCTCTGTTACAATTGGTCGATTATTACTCGTAAACTTGTAAAGCCAACTTGAGTGTGATAATTTTCCTTTTAACTTCGTTATATGTAAGTACTACTGCTGTAACTTTTTCCTAACAACCGTTTAGTTGATAGAAGGGGGGGGGGGCATTGACTCTAACCAAACTTAGCTCTTTAATGCTTAAATAGAGGACGTACGTAAAGAGGAGGTACACTGTTTTTCTTTTGAATTTCGAAATTTTACTTTACCACTTTGGTAGTGTAATTATTGTGTATGCTCCTGTCAAATTACAACTTTCTAGTATCAATAGTTGTAAAAGCTAATCGCGGACGGACGGACAGAATTACAATTATGGACATATATAACATGCTCTTTAGAGAGTGTCTCAAGGTAGTATATTGGGACCTCAACTGTTTTCAATAAGGTGAAACACAAATGCTTTATTACTTACCGAATATTTCACCATTAGGAGCGTATTCTGTTACTAAATATATCGTATATGTACTCTCCATAACCTGGAAATTTAAAACAAACCAAGTTATCATACTATTATAATAATTTTGAATTACTAAAATAATAAACTGTTCAAATTTATTTCCTACGTGGCTGAGTGGACATTCAATATAATCATTGAGCTAAGTTACGTCCCAGTCGGATCAATGTAGAAAATAAACACATATGATTGATTAATTGTTCCTATTCTTGCTGGTTAAGGTACTTTAGCTTCAGATTTTCATAATAAATCGTTTTACCTTATTAGTTTGCTATCTAAGCAAATATATGTGATATCCAATTATCTTAAGTTTAATTATTCGATTTTCAATTCGTGCTGTCGCAATGTCGCATTGGCATAAAAATATTGAATCAGACTGACTGATTTATATATCAACGCACAGCTCATACTACTGGACCTTATCGATCTGACAAGTTATTATGAGATTCACTATAAACAGATTTTGAAAAGCTCAATCCTTAAGATTTAGGGGTTTTCTTACACACAAGGGCTTTGAAAACTCATGTAATTCATGCAGATGAAGCCCCAAAGATAGTGAGTCATAAGCGATACGACAAGTTCAAGGGACAAGGCAAAAGTTGTAAACTAAACATTTGTTATGTTAACAAATTTCAATTCACATGTTGAATTTGGTGAGAGTCATTTTACATACAATACAAACTCACTACTAATATATTAATTTAGTTTTTTATTTTATTACGTTAGCTGCCCAAATTTTAAATTCTAGTAAAATTGTCGATTTTGAAATCACAGGTTTTTGAGTGGGCCCATTTTTTACTAGTTTTGGTAACGATTATAATTAAAATAGAAAATAATATAAAAAATGCATTTTTTAATAGGTAATTGATACACAATATGTTTCTCATTTATTATAACTTTGTGAATTAAATTCACATTTTTTCTGGAGTATGGGTAACTATAGAACGATTTTGCAGCTCAGTGAATTTCAAATACTTATTTGGCAGAATATTTCAGGCAAAACCATCGTAAAAGGAAAACCATAATCTGTTGCACGCACACGCGGGTCATGTATAATTCTTTGGTTTGGGTTGAGCGGTTTGAATATACAATGTAAGCATAGATACGTTATTTACTAACTTTCATAGTCAGTTAGCACTTAAGGGCAAGACATCACTGCACTGCCAAATAAATGTAAGTGCAAACTTGGTACTGGTTGTTTGCAATGTAAGGTGTGTTGATAATGATCGTGAAATTTGTCGCTGCCGACTATTTATTCTACATTATTAAAATATCTGTAAACATACCTGATATAACCTAACTATGTGCGGATGCCGCAACCTCTTCATTATAGCGATTTCCCTAAAAGTCTTCTTTAAATTGTCTTCGTCTAATCTTGATTTATCTATAATTTTTATTGCCACCTGAAACATACAAAAGAAAAAGTTATTAACTTTATTACTAAGAGAACTTCGTAACTTTAATTTCTAAATTACATGTCATGATATAAAATGTATGTCAGAGGTTGCCAAAGTTGTCTCAGGTTTGCAGAGTTCGACAAAATAAAAACTGATTGTGGGGGTCGTCGAGATGTAAAAATCGGCCCCTGTTTATTAATACAACACCTTTGGAATTATAAAATCAAATCGGCAATGGGGCCCTGAGGTATCATCCATCACTTCTTTTTGGAAAAGGGGTCATTTAGTTACGAATCGTCGGTGTTAGGTTAATAGTTTTAGTTTGAGCAACTTTCGCAAAGAACCAGGTGTTCGGATCGGTTCCAGAAAAAGGATTGTGTTTAACGCTTCCAAATTTTGGAAGGCATATTACCCGGTGTCCACGAATGCGCGTTAAGAGTTCACACCAAATAAACTGTATTTTAATTGTTTTTCATGAGAGTATTGCTAAAATTTTTACCTCTATGTTTGTCAAAATATAAGAAGTACGTAAATAAGTTAGTTTTCTATTCGTACAGATAAATCGTATGAGGACGTGCAACTTTATCTTATCTCCGGCACGCGAAGATAATTTTATTAATCGTCGGATAATAGAAACCACAGCACAGATTACAGAATGCTGTTCTATTTTATTAATTGTTGAAGCACTTTAGAGGAAACGGGAGAGTTCCACAGGGATCACTATTAGGTCCCGTACTATTTATGATAGTGACCAAACACAATATAATTCAGATTAGTTTTTATTATTTCTAAAACATAGAAGTTCAGACCGTAGGGTACATTCCATTCCAATTATTGGAATTGTTTATGAAATAAGTAGTTTGACGAGCATACTGGATAATTATGAAAATTACATTACATACGACATTGTCATGCGAAAGTAAAACGAAATTCTTGTTTTGTACTTTCTCGTGATAATGTTGTCTTTCAATTAGTTTTAATTGATACACCATATCGCTAACATAACAAGTAATCTGCAGTGCAGGAAATCCTTAAATTTTCGCTTAGTGTCGCGAACGGTCAGCAATTGGTTACCTACTGATCAAAATATGCATTAATCTGTTCTCAATTTAAAGGATGACTGGGGGAGATTATTTTAGTACAAGGTATTACACTTCTGGTTGATTACAGTAGTGGGTAGTGATGTCTGATATCATTGTTTTTTTTAGTATTTGCAAATAATGATGATATATTGTTTTAGAAAAGAATAAAACGATAAGGATCATTGTATCTGTTAATGATAAAGTAAATCAAATATTTGATATATCTTATCAAATAAAGGTGTGTTACACAAGCTTGTATACATATGTCGTATACTATACTTATGCCATATTAAACAATACAAATCGTACTGGAATTTAATATAAATTTGTACTACCACAAACAAACAGACCTTTGTGAGATCAATAAATAGTTCTTCTTCTTCTTCTTTGTATAATCGGGTGCGCCATTTATAGTTCACGTTTTGAATATCGGGGCTTGATAAATGTAAGGATAGATGGTAGCAATCACTGTTTTTCTACATGTATGTAGGCTTTAAGGAAAATAAAAAAAATTTGTATGAAGAACGAAGAAAGTTTTATAAAATAAGAAGAATTCAGTAAATTTTTTTTGAGTCCGTTGAGCCGACTTGTATTAAAATCGTTATTATTTTTGTTACTGACCTAGAGTCTACCTTACCAGTCAAGTATTATTTGTCAGGTACGAAAAGCCATGGTTTAATGTGCTACATGTAGGCGTAGATAATAAAGAATTATACATTTTATGTACCTATAAATAAATAAGAAAAATATATTAAATAAATTATTTTTATGTAGTAATAATTTTATGAGGCTCCGCGGACCACTTGGGATGCTTCCAGGGACCTCCGGTTATGATAATGTATCAAAAAAGTTTAGGAAACTATTATTAACTAAAACTGTCATGTAATTAATGTTATTCAAAAGATAGGATTAGTTATTTTCTCAATTATTTATCTCTATATTTACGCGGACAAAGTCTCAGGAAAGTAGCTAATTCCTAAATAAAATTATTATTCAGCTATAATATTAAGAAAGCTAAGCAGCTAAATCTGAAATCATGAAAAATCCGGGAATCGAAACCACTACCTCAGAGATGGCCACATCTTGAAACTGGTATGCGTGCGAGCTACTCCACCACAAGCGTGGTCACGACGACGTGGTCGTCAAAGATAAAGCTAATGGTGACTGATCTATCAATGTACAGTCCAATCTACTGAGCAGATCGAGATGAAAACTGACATAGTTATTCTGGCATGGAGGTTTGCTCGGAAATAATTTTGAAACATATACTACCAAAGGAAATTCAGTTGTGAATGTTGTAAATAATAACCGTTTATCCGACGACGAAAGTCTGAACACAATGTTACTTGTTAGGGGAGGATGTCAGTGGGTATCCTTGGGAATGCGGTACGTGCGGACGGAGGTCACGTTACATCGGCTCAAGGTTCGATTCACTGTAACATTTTCGATATAAACATTACAAACCTGTACAATTGAGACACCAAATTTATAATACCATTTTATTAATATTGAAAATATCATTTTAATGTTACTGTTTATCAAATAAAGGTATATATTTAGTGTTATAAAAAAACACTTCTGATTAAGTGGACCCCCAATATATGCTTTGCTGATCCCTACAACACACTTTGAGAAATGCCGGTTTAGATAAGAGTGTAGTATTTTGACTACTCGGGTATCTTTTACATCTCTATAATGTCCTGTCGAGTGCATGTTCGGTGCAAAACAACCGCACACCATTGTAGCTAAGTAGGTAGGAAATTTTGTTTTTATATAACTGGCACAGCATGGAGGTACACTCAAATGAATTACTTGAAAGGGTAAAATTACAAAGGTTTTATTTAATTGAAGCAGGTTTTATGGTGTGCCAGCGCCAGCCCGCGACGTAGCTGCGCAAATTCAAATTTGTACACATTGTATAGTGTAGATATTTTTATTTATCACTAGCGAGCCGGTACTGCTCTGCTTGGATGAAAACCTTCCTCAAGATATTTCCCATCCACAGTCATCGTCGCACTTAGATCGGAAGCAAAGGTAAAGCTACATCTAGCAGCACGGCGGTATCGCCGTAATGCATCGCGCTATCCTTTTCTGTCCTTCAGTAGCGCCAGATCTAGATGTGGTAGATCGAGAGGAATATGACGTGTGACACAGCACTGCCAGGGATCCTAGTTATCTTCTCACTCTAGAAAAAGGTGGTCCTGAATGACAGAAAAGGAAAGAGCGACCAGAATTAGAACCAAGTAGAAGACATTGCAACATGTGAATTCGAAAATAATTTAAAATTATTTTAAAAATACAAAAATTAAATTAACAAAAAACGTCTATACAATTGTGATAATCCTTGTCAGTAACAAAACCATCTGTTACTATGGCAACGGCCGACCTTGACCCAAGGTTACATCGGCGACCTCGTTACATTGTACAAGGTGTGACCTTAATGTTCCGCTGCTATTCAAGCTGATGATATGAAGAATTCGGTAACATAAATTATGAAAGTGATGTTCGCTATAGGATGGGTGACCTATTGTAAAACTTACTCAATTTGACTTTAATGTAGCAAAGAAAATATAATAATTGCTTGATTTGTTTTATTACATATTTCATTAGTTATTAAGAAATAATCGAAACACCTAATCTATATATAGGTATAGTATGTATATGTAACTCAAAGGTGACTGACTGACATAGTGATCTATCAACGTACAGCCAACCAAACCACTGGACGGATCGGGCAATTTGGCATGCAGGTAGATGTTATGACGCAGGCATCTGCTAAGAAAGGATTTTGATCAATTCTACCCCCAAGGGGATGTAAGTTTGTATGAAACTTTGTCAATTTTAAACCGATCGGGCTCAGACTTTGCATGCATAAAGCTACTATGACGTAGACATCCCCTAAGAAAGAATTTTGATAAATGAAACTTTATTTCAGGTATTTCACATTATATAATGAATAAATATTCGTTAGAAATGCTGCTTAAAGTAACTTTACCACGCGGACGAGGTCGCGGGCAAAAGCTAGTTCACTATAAAACTCAACCGACTTTTTATCTGTTTTCAGCAAAAGACGTTTTCAGTAAAGTTTACATGTATAATAAATTAATAGAAATATCAAGATGATTACTAAAGACGGGAAAAAAAACATGGAGACGTGACTCCCGCCCGAATTATCCTAATTTTAAGGCTGTGCAAACGATTTCACGTGTTTTTTTTTGTTTTAAAGTTCCATTAGTCAGTAAAATACAATTTAACATAAAAGCTTTACACCCGGTTTCTGAACTGAGAATTTAAAGTAAAGAACGTCTCTAACTGAGCGCTTAGTGTTTTTTTGACGTTTACCTTCACTGTCGATCGTGAGCGCGTTAAGATTTTACCAGGGCTTGGAAACCGGTTTATTTTTTTAACCGGTTCGACGTAAGTACATGCGAAACGTTACATAAAAGGTTCAGCTCCTTCGAACCGGTTTTTAAACCGGTTCACTAACCGGTTTAAATATGACTCCAGACAATGATCTCACAAACTTCAGCGCGGTTTTTAAGTGCCTACACTCCTATCTATAATATCCGTACATAGGTATGATAAATGTCGTCGCTTAAAAATGATGTAATTCGCATCAAAAGTGTAAGAACATTGCTTTTTACGAACCAAGCGAATTAACCGGTTTTTATTCTATCCGAATTTCACTCCGCATTTAGTTCCGATCCGGAACGGAACATTATAATAGAACAGGTTTTACCTAAATAAAAACGGTTTATTCTGAACCGGTTTCAAGCCCTGGATTTTACTATGGAATCCGGTACAGCGCCCCTAGCGGTAACTACCAAGACCTGTACTTAGGCTTACGTTTCGGATTCTTCGATCAACAATACAACTAGATGCCCGGTCAGAGTCTTAAAATATAACTTTTATTTCTAAAATTTT